AAAAAAAATAATACAAAACTGATCTGATTTATACTTTAACAAAGCTTAATTTATATTATATATAAAAAAAAAAATAAAATCAGTAAAAAATGAAATTACTTTATAAAAAAAAAAAGTAATATGAAACTGACCTGATTTATACTTTAGCAAAGCCTAGCTCATATTATGTAAAAAAAAAATTATTAGAATTAATAAAGAATGTAATTACTTTTATAGAAAAAAAATAATATAAAACTAACCTGATTTATACTTTAGTGAAGCCTAGTTCATATTATATAAAAAAAAAAAGTTAAATCAGTAAAGAATAGAATTATTTTTATAGGAAAAAAAAGTAATATGAAACCTAATCTGATTTATGCCTTAGTGAAGCCTAGCTCATATTATATAAAAAAAAAAGTTAAAATTAGTAAAGAATAGAATTACTTTTTTATAGAAAAAAAATTAATTTAAAACTAATCTGATTTATACTTTAGAGAAGCCCAGTTTATATTATGTAAAAAAAAAAGATACAATTAGTAAAGAATGGAATTACTTTTATGAAAAAAAAAGTAATATGAAACCTAATCTGATTTATGCTTTAGTGAAACCTGGTTCATATTATGCAAAAAAAAAGTAGAATCAGTAAAGAATAAAATTACTTTTATAGAAAAAAAGAAGCATGAAAATAATCTGATTTATGTAAAACAAAATACTTTAGCAAAGCTCAGCTCAGATTATATAAGAAAAAAAAAATTTTAAAATCAGTAAAAAATAGAATTACTTTTATAAAAAAAAAAGTAATTCAAAACCTAACCTGATTTATGCTTTAACGAAGCCTAGCTTGTATTATATAAGAAAAAAAAGTTAAATCATTAAAAGATAGAATTACTTTTATAGGAAAAAAAGAAAATAGTATAAGAATCAAAAAAATGAATTAGATAAGATATATGAAAATCTGATTAAAACTAATAATGATAAATTTTAAATTTCATATACTGTATTATAAGAGTGTTGCAAAAAAAAAACTTGCAATCTTGTAAAGCTCTTATAAGGTTTGCAGATTTTTTCTTTGTGACACTTATATAATATAAATTTGATGATAAAAAATGCTTACATATTTATATTAATATAATAATTAAATGATTAGCTTAAAGTTACTATTTATTTTGAAGTTAAATAAATTAGTTTATACAATAAATAAGATTCATAGCCTTTTTTTTTTGATTATCAAAATTAAATTAATAACCAAATTAGGATATTCTGTTTATTGATTTTCAGATGGACTACTTCATTTAGTATTTTATTATTTTACAAATTTAACAAGATGCCATTAGAAGCAGATAATTAAATATGTATCTGAAGTGTAATAAAAATGCTTGTAATTTTTAAGAAGCTACTAGCAGTCTGCCAATCATTTTAAGGGTACATTAGATCTTGTATAGTCATATAAAAAAAAAGATTTGAGATTTAAATATACTAAAAAAAAAATTTCTATTATAACAATAAAAAATTGTAGGTATTATATATTTACTTCCAATAAGGAGAAATTATAAAATAAATTCTTTAAGCTTTTGTTAGATGAGAATTTATTTAAAGAGCTCATTTTACACAAAGAATTGAAATTTATAACTTACTAGTTTTTTATTATTTTTCTCAAATATACTATAAACAACCTTATTTGTGAAGTCATTCCATTTGTTTATGGAAAGAATAAAATTAATATTGATAGTTATCTTATAGTTAAGAATAAAAGTTATAAAAATAAATTCTATTGGTATGGTGAAAAGCAGAATGCATTAAGCTGCAATAGTCATGCTGTAATCAGACTAGTTAATGATCAGCATTATTTTTGAAATGCATCAGAACACAGTTATGCAGCATAAGCAAGCAAAGTAGATGTTGTGAAAATGATTATCAGAATAAAAGAACAAGCTTAACAATCAAATAAAAATTCAGCACAAATATTACAAACAGCAATTATCAATAGTTCTTATTATATATATTAATATCTTCTGTCTTTTAGTGCAATTCATCAAACAATCAAACAGATTAGACATCTTGACATTTCTATTGAACTCTTATTCTTAGAATATTTAATTATTTCTGATCATATAAGAAGAACTTTAAAAGGTTTGAACTTTTTAATTTATGATTTCACTACAGAGTAGAATAGAATCTTAATTTTTACAACCATAGATAACATTTGTCACCTAAATCAATTACCAATGTGGCTAATGAATAGAACTTTTAAAACAGTACCAGATATGTTTATGCAACTATACACAATTTATGATATATACTTTTAATATTATTTTTATATATATATTTTTTTTAGCCTTTATAATAGGCATACCAAAAATTTAATTGTAAAAGCAATTAATTGCAATTATTTGATTAATTGTGGCTGTACTACTAATTAATAATTGAGATCAAATAATTGCAATTTTTGCCAAAGTTTGCAAATTATATGATAGAACATATTTAAAAGTATATTTACTAACCAAAATTTGTATTTAAAAAAAAACATACATAATTAAATAAAAAAATCAAAGTTATCAAGCTATCTCTTTTTTATAATAGTCTGCTTAATTTATATTTCTTTACAAAGACACATATATCAAATAGTATTCTAAATCTTTATTTTTAAATTAGTTTTAATGAGCATAAAAGCTTCATACAAGTGTTATATAGAGAACTTGCAGATGATGTACTCTAAAACATTATCATAACAAAATTGCAATTAAATTGCAATTAATTGCAATTATTTGAACTTAATTTAAATTTAATTGTTGTTTATAACAATTTTATTTAATCTTAAATATATTATAATTTAATCGCAATTAAATTTTCTATACCTCTGCTTATAATAAGAAACCTAAAAAGCTAACTTTTTTTTTTTAATTTTTAATATTAATGTTATACATTTTAGAACATGTTGATGAAAGTAAAAATTCAAGAATTTTACTTTTAGTTTTTTCTTTAATGACTAGTAAAACAGAGGATTCATACAAGAAATTGTTTTAAAGACTAATTGATTTTGGTAAAAAACATCATATAGATTTGGGACCTCAAGTTGTTTTAACTGATTTTGAAATAGCTGTCATAAATTTCATTCAATTAGGATATAAAAATGTTTGAAGTAAAGGATGCTACTTCTACCTGTCACAAAGTGTTTATCATAAGATTTAGTCTCTTGGACTTGCTTTAAGATACAGTATGAATAAAGAGTTTAGCTTACTAATGAGATGTATTCTAGCTCTTGTTTTTTTATCTTCTGAAAAAATACTATTGGTATTTGATGAATTAAAAACTCATATTCCAACTGAGGCTAAACATGTTATTTAGTGGTTTAAGGAAACTTACATTTATAGCAGAATTAGGCATATGTATAAAAATAGAAATGTTAGTAGATATGAAGCATTATTTCCTTCTACTTTTTGGTTTGTAGCTGATAATGTTGAATCTGCCTATCCTAGAACCCAGAACTCAGTAAAGGCATAGCACAAGAGGTGGAATACATTAGTAAGTTGTGCATATATGAGGGTTTTTAAAATTATAAGAAAGATTCAGAAGGAGCAAAATAAAATTAAGCTTGATATTGAAACAATCTTATGAGGTGCTCTAAGGCTATCATAAAAAAAACAAACTATTGAATATAAATAGTGAATACAAACAGTATACAATAGCCATAATAATTGGTCTCTCATGAAATATCTTTGTGGAATTGTCTACAATATTGCTTTTTAAAATTTTATATTTTAAATCATTTATTTGCTTTTGATTTTGTACAAATAAAATATTTAAATTTTGTAATTGAATTTAAATAGATATTTAAAAAATATTTCAAATACATAATAAATACTGTATAATAATCTTGAATACAGAATTACAAATCACTTTCTTCATAACCAGTTTTGTTAATAAAAATTAATTACTATATATTAAAAGTTTTACTAATAAATTTCCTATATCGAGAAAATTTATATAAACTAGATTTACAGTAGTAACAAAAAAATTATAATACTCTTTTACTAAATATAAAAATTTTTTAAGAATTGATTAAATAAATTTAAAAATTTAAATATAAATATTTTTAAAAATATAATTAAAAATAAAAAATAAAAAAAATTAATAAAAAATTAAATTTAAATTTTTAAAAGTTAAAAAAAGTTTAAAGTTAAATTTAAGGTTAAATAAAAATTTGTTTAAATTTTAGGTTTAATTTAAGATTTTTATAAGTTGAAGTTGAATTTAGAATTAAATAAAAATTAGTCTAAATTTTAGGTTTAATTTTAAATTTTTATTTATAAAAAATTAAAACTTTATTTAATAGGTATTCATAAGCTCTTTGTACTAATTTAGTACAAATTAAAAAAATTATTATACAATAGTATTATAATGAATTTTATTGATATTTTGCTAAAATATATATTAAATCTCATATTTTATTTATGCAAAAAATCCAACCATATTTATATATAAAATTTTGTATAAATTAAACTTATATAAAAAATTATTTTAGGCATTTTTGTTGTACTTAATTTAGTACAGTAAAATTTTATAAATATTTTTGTAAATTATATAATAATAATTAAAAAAATTTTATTTATAAATTGTTTAAGATCATATCTTTATTTTAATATATTTTTTATAAATTTAAAATATAATTACTAAAGCATTTAATACATACTGCTTTTAAAACATTACAAGTATAATAGTATCTTGTTCTAGTACTACAATATTTATAATGTAATTGTGGATAAATAGTTTATCATATCATTTTTTTTTTTTTGAAAAGTTTTCAAATTATGTTGTATTTAAGATATATTAGAACATGTTTTTACCTCTGAATTTTCAATTATACTAAAATTTCCATTAAGCATTTCATAAGCTAATTCTTTTCTAAAATCAAAATAAGAGATATTATATACATTGTTATGCTATTTTTTATATATAAGAAAAGCATTAGCTTTTACAATTTCTAATAAAAAAGAAAATATATGCATTTGTCAACTTGATCCTCATATAATATTATGAAATAATGTTATATTATTATGCACCTAATATATAATATAAAAATTTTATATAATAGTAATATATTATATATAAAACATATAATATAAAAAATTAACATACTTGATTATTAATATCTATGGCCTCTTTAGCTTGTGAGTATTTATAAAAGACTTTAGGTCTTGTAAATTTAATAGTTGTTGAGCCAGTATTATTTTTAACTACATATTTAATCTCATTAGCTTTTGGTATTGTAGATGCTGTTACAATTATATATTGAGGTTTTTGATTCTGTAAAGAAGCTGCTATTAATTGTACATCATTAATTGTTATAACTTTTGATATACAAGATCCATAAGTACTATCAAGTTTTTCAACCATATCTTGTAGATAATTGATTGGCCATCTATGCCTTTTTTTTATATAAAAAATACTATACAATCTATTTTGCATTAATGCAATACAAAGTTTAGATGAACTGAACCAACTATCACCAATTATTGTATGACTACTACTAAACTATGATTGTGTTAATTGCAATATATATGCTGTAGAACTACTATAATTAGAAACAAATTGCTTATTTTTTTCAATTTTCTTGTCTTTACAAGGTTCTAATTGAATAATAATATTTGTTAAACCATCAACAAGAGTTTTCTATTCTTGTCCTACAGGGTGTGGTTTTTGTAGAATTTTGTGATGGCCTGGAATTTTATTTTCAGTGCCTAACTATGAGTTCATTAACTCATCAATACATAACATACTTCCAGCCTCATTTAAGTTTGTATTAAAAGCATTAATAAAACTACGAACTAAAAATAATAGATCACTACTATCAGATATTTCTAATTTATTTGGCATCATTAATGTATGATATGATACTATTTGTTCAAATCATAGAATACTCATCCAATGCTGAAAATTAAATGATAATAAAGGATGTGTATCTTGAGTTTTCTAATAAAAATAATGATCACTCATAGGAATTATAGATATTAATACTCAAAGCCCTAACTAGGTCATATATTCATTGATATTCATATCAATCCAATTCAAATTTTTTCTTTTATATAAATTTATAGATTTAATAATGTTTTGTTCAATATAATTTATAGGAAGATATTAACAAAATATAGTATAAGGTGAGGCTAAATTAATAGATACAATGTTAATTTTATATACATGGCTATATGTTGGATGAATTGCATGTTGATTAATTTTTACTGATTGTTCTCACTATTTTACTGTTATAGTTAGGTCAACTTCACTAATATCACTAACATTACTAGTATTATCTTCTTCCTCTAAGCTATTTTTACAATATTCAGAAAGATTTTGTTAAGTAGTTGAAGTTTCTGCAACTTCATTTTTTAAAGAAACTTGTTTTTTATAATGTAAATTTCTTCCACAAATATTTACAACCAAATTTCCATCTCCAACTTTGTTAAACTTTACTTGAAATATACAAGGTACTTCAGTTGATTCTTTCATAACCTAACTATAAAGGTGTAAGTTTTTTAAACTTTTATTACTTTGTTGTATATATTGTGAAATAATATTTTTTAGTAATACTGTTACTTTACAACTAACCTATTCTCTAATAATTATTTTATTTGAAATTCATAACATTGTTCAGATATATATAAAAATAGTAAATAAATATACTTTTAAAATTTATATTTTTATAGAAAAAATTTTGAGATATGCAAAAGAATTGTATAATCAGTACTTTCACAATTTCTTACATTAAAATTGCAAAATTGACAATAAAAGTCTTAGAATCAAGTAATTATATAATACAGTATTTAAATTGTAAATTTATTAAATCGCTATTCAAAATAAAACACACTATTCTCATACTATATAAAAATAATGTAAAATACTTTAGTTTTATGAAATCAGTAAAAAAATCAGATTGGTAACTGAACAAATAATATACCTTTTATATAGATTTTATAAAATCATTTATAAAACTTTACATCTCTTTAACTATAACTAGAAATTTATTTTAGACATAATATAATATCATTTGACTGGTTATCAACCTATTTAAGTTATATAATGAGTTATATAATACCAGTAAGTATAAAGAAGCTTTAGTTTTATCATTTGGACCAATACAAAATCAAATAAAGTAAAATATAAAGAAAAAAAAATAAGTAAATAATAAAAAAATTTACATTTTTTTTATATTTTTATTTTTTTTTTAATTAAAAAAAATTTTAAATCGTTATTTAATATAAAAAATAGTAGATAGCTTTTTAAAATAACTTTTGTAACAAATATAAAATTTTAAATAATCAGTTTTGTATATATATTAAGATCAAAACCTGTATTGCAAATCAATTACATATATGGCATTGTATTATGTGACACACATTTATAAGAAATGCTTAAATTACACAAGTAGACTCTATATGTATTACAAATACATTGTATAAATTTTCAGGTAACAGTTGGTCACACTCATTGTTTAATTATGATTTTAAATCTGTACTAAATTAAGTATTTTGTACTAAATTTAGTACAGCTTACAGATATTCATTAATTTATATAAAATTTTTTACTTATGTTCTTAAAAAAATATTAAATAATTTGGTTATAAATATTTTATAAAATAATTTAGTAAAAATTTTATAAAAAATTTTTATTAATTTAATTTTTAGTATAATAAATCCTAATTTAAATTTAAATTTTTAAAAATTTAAATTTGATTTTTTAGTAATTTTTTATTTTTTATTATTAATTGTATTTTAAAGAATATATATATAAATTTTTATATTTTTTAATCAAATTTAAAAAATTTCTATATTTAATATTTGTTACTACTATAAGTCTAAACTTTATTATATCAGGATTTTAATTAGCCTTTGCTATATTAAGAGTTTACTACAATAAGTGACCTGTATTTGAAAAAAAACTACACTTTTAGTTAGTAAAAATAAATTATTTATACAAAATCTTATCAAATACAACCTTTTTTAAATATGATTTTCAATATTAGTAGTTTTATTTTTTTTTTTACATATTTTTATATTCTGAACCAGGCTTCATTAAAGAATTTTGTTCTATATAAATTAGATCAGTTTCATGCTTTTTTTTTTCTATAAAAGTAATTTTATTCTTTACTGATTCTACTTTTTTTTTTCTTATATAATATGAACTAGGCTTTGCTAAAGCATAAATCAGATCAGGTTTTATATTACTTTTTTTTTCTATAAAAGTAATTCTATTCTTTACTAATTTTACTTTTTTTTTTTACATAACATGAACCGAGCTTTGCTAAAATATAAATCAAATCAGTTTCACATTACTTTTTTTATATAAAAGTAATTCTATTCTTTACTAATTCTAACTTTTTTTTTATATAATCTGAGCTGAGCTTTACTAAAATATTTTGTTCTATATAAATCAGGTTAGTTTCATATTTCTTTTTTTCTATAAAAGTAATTCTATTCTTTACTGATTTTAACTTTTTTTTTTATATAATATTAGTTAAGCTTCGCTAAAGTATAAATTAGATCAAATTTTATATTATATAAAAGTAGTTCTATTCTTTACTTATTCTAAAACTGAGCTAAGCTTTACTAAAATATTTTGTTCTATATAAATCAGGTCAGTTTTATGCTTAATTTTTTTCTATAAAAGTATTCTATTCTTTACTGATTCTATTTTTTTTTCTTATATAATATAAGCTGGGCTTCATTAAAGTATTTTGTTCTATATAAATCAGGTCAGTTTTATGCTTTTTTTTTTCTATAAAAGTAATTCTATTCTTTACTAATTCTATTTTTTATTTTTATTATAGGTAATCTCATAAATTCTGATATAACATATCATATATTATAAATTAACAAAACATATAACCAACATCCAAATCAGATAATATTATAAAAAAGTTTAGCTTTTGAGAAAATATATACTATAAAATAAAATTACTAGCTTTTGTGTATTATGCACTAGTCATGTGCTTGCATTGCCTACTTGCAACTTTACAAAAGAAGATCATTGAAATCTGACTGATAAATTTACAACAAATAAAAGTTTTTTTTGATTAAGTAAATTACTTTATATTTATTAATAAAAAATGTTCACAATGTTATTTTATATATATAGTAAACTTTTATAGAATTCAAAAACTTTTTTATTATTGATTTTATGCTTTAAATATTAGTAACAAAAAACTAATTGATTTTTGAAAAAAATCTTTGGCCTTAAAATCTATAAAATTTTATTAGAAAAACTAATTTAAGCCAATAATAAAAATTGTTTTTTATATTTAAAAACATATAATACTAAATTTTTATAATGATACATAAAAATTTTTCTCATAAACTTTCTGAATTAAATAAGTGAATAAAAAAAAAATTTGCATGAATTTTTTGAAAATTAATTACATTTATATTTTTAACTAATTCAACAAATTTATTAAAGAAATCTTTACTTACTATTACAAAAATTTAATAATAAATATTTTTGAGTGTGAAGAACAACTTTGCTTAGTAGCTCAGATAAGGTTATTAATAAAAATTTTGTTGATTTTAGAGATTTAAAATTAGTTAAAGTTTTTTAAATTTAAAAAAATTTTTTTATTAGTCTTAAGCCATAAAATAGTTAAGTAAAAAATTCTCTAAATTTTATAAAAATACTCTTAATAAATGTAAAACAATATGATGAATATCTTTATTTAATATATAAAGAATTAATTATATAATAAAAAATTTTTATATATATAGAATATTTATTATATTATTATTGTCATAGTCCAGAAAATATATCTTCAAAATTCCCTATTTATAAGATAAATGAAAGTTTTTCATGTAATGTCAAATAGAATAGTATTCAAAAGAGGCATTGGATTTGGGTGAGTACTACGAGTAAGTGTTACTTTATTAATTATTATACGAGACTTGTTTTTATTACATTATAATCATATTATTTATATACTTTTTCCCTATATGCTATATCTACTAATTACACTTTATATGCTATATCTACTAATTACACTAATTAGCTATATCTACTAATTACACTCTATATGCTATATCTACTAATTATATTGATTACACTATATCTACTAATTACACTCTATATGCTATATCTACTAATTATGCTCTATATGCTGTATCTACTAATTACACTCTATATACTATGTGTTATAATAATTACTATATATTATTACTTTATTATGTAATGTAACTTAAATGAGATTTCAACGATTCTATTTTGGATTATGATATTATCTGCATTACCCTCAAAATTTAATCTAAATCTGAGAAATCTAAATTCTCATCTTCATCTTTATCACTTTTAAGATTTACTCTATTCTTAATTACCTCCCAATAATTTTTTGTTTTATTTAAGCATTTTTTCTAGCATAAAACAACTGTCTTTAAATAGATTTCTGTTTGAAAAGAATTGAGTAATGTATTATGAAGAGAAAGAGTATCTGAAAACTATTGTTTTTCTGCAACTTTATTCTTTACAATTCTCTATATCATTTTAATTTGTTGCAACTCACAATAGTATGAAGGAGTATAAAAAAGTTTATGACCAAACCTGTTTGTGATATTAACAGTGACAAAGGGAACAAATTTTTTTTTTGTTTTATTAATTCATACAATTCTACTTTTGTCATACTTTTATTATAATCAATATTATAAGCTTCTAATTATTCAATTATAGCTTGCTTCTTAGAGTTGAACATAGGTGTAACTTCAGCATAATGTTTATAATACCTTGCACCATCCATATGAATGATGCAAGGTTCATAGTCAGAAGTAAGAATTTTATAAAGATTTTCAAAATTTTTTTCAAAAACATCCATATTGAAATTTCTATAATAATCAATTTTATTAGGA